AAAATAATAATATTTTAATAAATATGTTATAATGTAATATATTAATCACTACTATTCTATTATTAAAATGTCACTTATAAAACAATATAAATAAAAGTTTTATTGGCACCTGGCCCTTGAGGCCTAGTGGCAATAACCACCCCGGTGCATTCCTCCCTCCCTCAAGCTGGGTTCGAAACCCACCCCTTGTAAATATGTTTAAAAAAAAATAAAAGTTTTATTGCACTTGGGCCTTTGGGTTCAGTGGCGTCAGACCAAATATAAGTGCATTCCCCCACTTCCAGGATAACAATTCAAATCTGTCCCCTTACGAGTTTGTTCAAAAAAAAAAAAATAAAAGTTTTATTAGCACTTAGGCTTTCAGGTTCAGTGGCGTCAAGTCACGTATAAGTGCATTCCTCCACCCTAGGGCAACGGTTCAAATCCGGCATCTTGTAAATTTATTCAAAAATAAAAAAAAAAATTATTAAGAGTATTTTAATATATTGTTAAATTGTAATTTTGGTCCCTAAATTTTTGTACAAACTCTTGATTTAATCCATAACTAGATAAATTCCTATTTAATCCTTAGAGTTTTACATTCTAGCTCTTTTGTTATAAAACAATGATTGATTTAATTCATGTGCCAAATCAGAAGTGTGTACAAAAGTTTAGAAGCTAAAATTTGGATTTAACCTAATGACAATTTTATAATTTAATAAGCTTTTAAATTCAATAAATAATGAATTTTTCCCATGTCATCAATTTTTGCCGTGTAAAATTTTTCATGTCATTAATTTGGAGAAAAAAACAGATTTTACTATCAATTAATGTAGTATAAGCTAAAATTTAACCAAAAAAAACCCAAAAAAAAAATTAAATTTAAAACTTTAGAAACTAAAATAAAAATTTATTTAGTTTAGAAACTAAATTAAAGACTCATACTAAAGTTGAGGGACCATAATAGAAGTCCACTTTTTTTTTCTATGATCAAGTATAGTCCGACTTGAAAAATATTTTTATACCATACAAATATATAAGATTAATATTTTTCAAGCCAGACTACACTGCAGTTATGTTACAATTAATCTTTCATAAAAATAATAATGAATAATGAAGAACACCATTACTTACACCCGCAAATAAATGGACCCCAAACCTCCTTCCAAGTTTTGCTTTTTCTAGTTTTTCTAGCTGGTGGAAGACTGGAAGCCTAATTGCTTGAGATGGTGGTGTACATCTTCAGGGTGATCGTCGAGTTTAGGGCGCTCCGGCTGTATCCACCGGCCTTCATTGTTCCTCACCATCCCCTTGTTCTCATCTTGTCTCCAATACGGCGGAACCAAGTAATGATCTTTTAGAAAGTCGGAGGCTTTGTTAACCAACGCCGGGTCCCTCTTGCTCGCAAGCACAAATTTATGCCCTTTCCCATGGTACCTGCGCCACAAACATTTCACAAACAAACTGATTTTAGAGCAACACCGCACAGCAAATTTCAAACGCAATTATTAGTTAAAAAGCAGGGCCTGCGCTATTTATGGTTAGCCAGATCTCCCTGTGTCTGCAAAAAGGACTGTTTTCAAGAATTAATCTATCCAACATGAATGACCTAGACCTACTTCTTATTGTACGATACTCACTTTTTTAAAAAATAATAAATATTTTTTATTTAAAATTTATTGTCAAATAATATTTTTTAATAAAAACATTTTTTTATTTTAAT